CCTAGTTATACTTCCCCCTTGTCTGAATTTATCTTACAACAAGAGTTACCACCAAGGTGGAAAGTCCCCAAATTCACAAAATTTTCAGGGGATACTAGTGAATCCACCATAGAACACGTGGCACGTTACTTGATAGAAGCGGGAGAGATTGCTAATAACGAGAACTTAAGGATGAAATATTTCCCAAGTTCTTTGACAAAAAACGCTTTCACTTGGTTTACGTCACTTCCTCCAACTTCAATTTTTACTTGGACCCAATTAGAGAGATTGTTCCATGAACAATTTTATATGGGACAAACCAAGATAAGTTTGAAAGAGTTGGCAAGTGTCAAAAGAAAATTTTCTGAACCCATAGATGACTATTTGAATAGGTTTAGATTATTAAAAGCCAGATGCTTTACGCAAGTGCCGGAACAAGAACTAGTCGAAATGGCTGCAGGGGGTCTTGATTATTCCATAAGGAAAAAATTGGATACCCAATATCTGAGAGACATGGCACAGCTGGCAGACAGAGTAAGGCAGATAGAAAGACTAAAAAATGAGAAATTTAGATCAAATAAAAACAAGAAGGAAAGAGTGGCCTATGTAGGAATAGTTCAAGATGATTACGACGAAAACGAACCAGTCATTTTCGACCAGCAAGAAATTGATCTTGCAGAATTAAAGCAAGGCCCTCCATATTCTTGTAAAGTTTTAGCCCCGTCGAATGGAAAAAGTCCAGTCGAAATGGAAAAGAATGACAGGTTCCCTAAAAGAACCTATACATTCGACATCACCAAGTGTGATGAGATATTTGATTTACTAGTCAAAGATGGTCAGTTAATAAAACCAGCAGGCACTAAAGAGCCTCCTATAGACCAACAGAAAAAGAGAGGTTTTTGCAAATACCATAATTTCTTGGGTCATAAAACTTCTCAATGTTACCTTTTCAGGGATCTTGTCCAAAATGCAATCCAAAATGGAAGGTTGAAGTTTGGAGACAAAGGCAAGCAGCAGATGAAGATTGACTCCAATCCCATGCAGATTGTGGAGGCAAATTATGCTGAGCCAGAAATGGTAAACGTGGTCGAAATGGAGATCATGGCAGAAGAAAATTCTGAAATGGTAGGAGTTACTGAAAGCTTCGACACCAACTTCACCATGATAGAAGCTGCTGAAGGTTTCGACACCCATGTCAATGTGGTGGAAGAAGGTGATAATTCTGCTGGCCAGGCTGAGGCAAAAGAAGTCAAAATTTCTGAAGACTTCGACAGTGA